GCTTTATCTCACAATCTGGGGCAGACATGGGGGAAAGTAAACTGTAAATTCTCTTTGTCTGGAAAGATATAAGGAAGTTGCTACAATTAGACTCCAAGGGTCTTATCTCAGAAATCTGGCAACTAACACCCAGCTTCTTGCCTTGCCCATTTCACCCACCCCACTGCTAGCAGATTCCTGCCTCTCCAGACTGATTTTAACCATTTGCTCACAATCTGGGGCAGACATGGGGGAAAGTAAACTGTAAATTCTCTTTGTCTGGAAAGATATAAGGAAGTTGCTACAATTAGACTCCAAGGGTCTTATCTCAGAAATCTGGCAACTAACACCCAGCTTCTTGCCTTGCCCATTTCACCCACCCCACTGCTAGCAGATTCCTGCCTCTCCAGACTGATTTTAACCATTTGAATCTGCCTTTTTCCAGATGTCCCTTGCCATACTCAGCATTTGTTGCATAGATATTACTCAACATGTGGCCAACTGGCAAACACTGTGCAGGAAAGAACATACCTAAGTATAAAAACTACCATTTGATGGCACAGAGAGCTGAAGCCAAAGAGGTCTGAAGCACTGGAAAATATGGCAGAGGCTGTCAGGAGAGAAAGGAGGAGATTCTTGCTATAGAGAAGTAAAAGAGAAAATTACTAAGTCAGCTGGCCTTAGGAATGGGCAGGGTAAAACAGGTTCTGAAGGAACTGATCTTCACCAGTTTAGAGGAATTTGGGATCTGAATACTACAGTGAAGTGCACAGTAACTGCAGGTGAACAACAAGTTCCTGTCATACAGCAGCTCCGACTCAGCCAGGAGACAGGCCTAATGCTCTGGGTTGCCTGGACCTGCCTGCCAGCAGGCACAGTCTGAGACATCTTCAGTCAGGCTGCCTGGCCGTCCCTTCAGACAATCCCTGTCTCTGAAGTTTTTCATCTGATGAACAGAGATGCTACTGCCATTTACTCACCTTTCACGTTCATCTTTCATTTTCTCCAGCTCTTCCTCTTTAAGCATACCTTGCTTTGGATTCCCCTTCTGATCTGCTTTCCCACTTTTATCTTCTTTTTTCTTTCCAAATCTGTTAAAGATATCAAGGAAGGAGTCATGAGGAAATAATTACTAGAGGAAAAAACTACTTATCTATCAAACCACAGATATTTTAGGCAATCAAATCACTGAGTTTTTATCTTAGTCACTCATAAATTTCCCACATTGTAAAGTAAGTTATCAGTATTAGCTGGGACATATGTAAGAGGAAGGACTGGTTACAAATTGATTTGGACCCTGTACAAGCTATTGCTTGAAACAAAGCTGGAAAGCCCCACCAAACCTGAAATGCAAGGCACTGCAGGTCTGGAATAATAATACAGCACATTTTAAAGCAGCTGAAGGTTCTTCTTGCCACAGGACAGCTCTCAAAGTAATCTGCAGCAGCTGTGGTGCCAGCACCCAGACTGGACCATGCATTCTGCTCTTATCAATAGCTACTGTCTCTCATTCATGACTGGCCTTAATTTTAGGATTTGTTCTTTGTTTAAATGAAGATGCAATTGGAAGGAATAAAATCTTGCTATGCTCCAAGAATACAAAACTTGACAGTTCCTAAGAGCTCTTTCTTAAACTTCTGGGGTTTTCTTTCTGCCTAGTAATATACTTTCATGTAATATTTATGCTGTGAAAGTCCTTGAGAGACCCCAAGCAGTTTGGGGGTTCCACTGTTGTTTTATGCACTGTACAAATATGCATAACAAGTCTGCTTTACGCAGTCTATAAAAGGTGACTGAACTGGGGAGCTACAATTAATTTCTGATGGAGCTAGACAGAATATCAGGGTCAAATATGCTCATGAATTATGGACCAAAAAAAAAATAAAAAATATCCTCTCCCCCAATTTGAAATTCTCAGTTCCACAAGTAAGTAAATGATTAATATGTGTCTTCCCAATCAAATGAATGTGCCCTTGCATGCATGACCACAATGTAAAGAAAATTTATTCTTTTTTAATTAAATATACTATATCGCAACTAATTCCTCTGACTCAAAACTGCAAACTCTTTCGTGAAAGTCTGTAGCATTGCCTTGGTGATCTTTCTTTTACCTTTTTTATTTTTTCATGTCAGCCCAAACTGCCTCAAGTGGAATAGCTGAACTACTGTGAATATACTTGAGCTGTAAATCATTGACTTTAGGTTTCTCTGCTGATGAAAGCAGAAATCTTGCAAATCCTCTGTCAGGCTCATAAGCTAATGATCCAATTTTTTTGTGAAATATTAATTAATAATTCTGAGCTTGTGGTCAAAATTAAGTTATTGGAAACTTTGCAGCAAGTCTTCCAGATAACAAGAACTTGGTTAGAAAGGGAATGATGGATGTGAGAGACAGAGATGTAGCATGTTGTGCTGATAAAAAGGGCAAATACTATAGGTAGTAACATGAGATGTTTTATCATGGCTCTGTCATGGACTGTGTTGGGGAGCAGAAAGAGTCCTATCAGTGCATGGTTTTCTCTTCTTTTTTTTCCTATGTGTGGCAATAGGCATAGATTATATCTTGCATTCTTGAGGGATCCTTTGCTCAAAATATACATACACCTCGACTACAAACAATCTTCACTTCTTTTTTTTATGGTCCCTGCTTATTTCAGTGTTTCCAGAAATACAGCACATACTTTCCATGCTTTTGCTTTTCCTGAGTGTAGAGCAGCACACTAATTTCACTGCTGCTTTTCAAGATCCTGCAGTTCCAAGAGACTGTGGAGTCACAAACCCCATCAGAAGGTGGTGGTGGTGTCAGTGAAGGCAGTGGTTGGGAAACACAGGAGAGAGACAGAGGTTGTATATACAGAGTGAGAAGATACAAAGTGAGAAGGGCTCACAGATACAAAATGACCTAGGTGAAAAAGAAAAGCTAGCTGAAACTCTGCATATATTGCTCTCTACAGGGATGTCAGGCAGCCAAACAATAAATTGCTTGGGGATGAGCACCAGCAGGCTGCTGCTCCTGAAACATCCCTGCTTTCTGACTCTTGCACATGCTGGTAAGGTCTCATGGCAGTTTTCTCAAGAGGCTGTATTAGCACTTGCATCTTGGTCATAATCCAACTCTGGTACTTTGTTTATATTCAGGCTGCCTGGTTTTCTCCCACAGTTTCAATTATGGGTTTGTGGAGTCTCATATTCGACTGCAGCATGTATTGATTTTGAAAGCATTATTCTTGGGCATTTTGTATTGCTGCAGGGAGTTGAAGTTGGATATGTTGCATACTCAAGAGAAATGCAAAAAAAAATCTTTAACATACGTCCCTTTCAAGCCTAGATATTATTTCTTGCTTACTAGGGAAATACATTTTAAATAAAATAAAGTGACAATTCTGATTGCAGTAACTGCCAACATGACAACCCTCAGCAAAAACAGTGCTGTTTGCTAGTAGAGTTGCTCTTGCCATAAAATTGGAAAGTTCCAGTGTAATTATAAATGGGAATAATGAGATGGCCTTGATGAAAACAACATTTATTGCTGCACTGCATCAAAAGCAACGTGGCCAGCTGGTCAAGGGAGGTTATTCTTGCCCCTATACTCTGTTCTCATGGGACTCCACCTTGAGTACTGCATCCAGCTCCGAGGTCCTCTAAAATATGAAGCACATGGATCTGCTGGACTGGGTCCAGAGGAGGGACACAAAGATGATCAGAGGGCTGGAGCGCCTTCCTTATCAAGACAGGCTGAGAAAGCTGGGGTTGATCAGCCTAGAGAAGAGAAGGCTCCAGGGAGACCTTATACCTTTCAGTACCTAAAGGGGCCTACAAGAAAGCCGGACAAAGACTTTTCACAAGGCCATGTAGTGACAGCATAAGGGGGAATGATTTTAAAGTGAAAGAGCATTATAGATATTATCAAGGAATTCTTCACTCTGAGCAGGGTGAGACACTGGAACAGATTGCCCAGAGAAGTTGTGGATGCCCCATGCCTAGAACTGTTGAAGGCTGGGTTGGATGGAACGCTGAGCAACCTGATCTAGTGGAAGGCACCCCTGCCTACAGCAAGGATGGTTGGAACTAGGTGGTCTTTAAGGTCCCTTCCAACTCAAACCACTTATGACTGGTTTTTTGCTATTTTGGCTTCAGATGGGATTTGTGCAGGCTTATGATTTTTACCTGTTATACCATGTATACAACATATAGATCAAGGCTAGGGAAATACTTAGATACATTTTTTGCCTCTTTTGCACATTGCTATACCATAAAAATCCATTGTTTTATTATTACTGTTTTTCCATTCTATTCTCTTATTATGTTTTTCAGCTCAACAAAAATTGTGTACAAACATTAGAAAATAAAAGCAGCAAAAAGTGCAACACTGTTCACAAAAGCAATATAGTGTAGACAGCATTAAACCACAAAGAACCCCGTATCATCTCTGCCTGAATTTATACACCCTGTCCTAAAATTTATGGTCTGCTCAGTGATGCATTCTAATTGCCATGGGCTTCCAATGATAAAATTAACTTCCACCCATGTAATTTTGCATGGGTTTGTGCACTACAGGCTTAATGGTTCTCTACTGCTTATAGGAACAAAAAATAAGTAGTAAGAGTACTTGTTGCCCAACCAGGTTTGATCATGTTCTCATTGATATCAGTGTGAGGCTTTCCACAGATTTCAACAAAGACAGGATAAAGATCCTTTGTCAAAATTATGCTACAGGATTAATCAAATCCCTATTAAAATTCTATGAAAACTGAATGGCTTTAGGATTTGAAATTTCTGATTCTCCAGGCAACAAATAAATGGCTGTGGTAATATCTGCCTTCCATATTAATAATATTGGCAGCAGAATAAAAACATTAATGAAAAAATGTATGCACACAAATTTTTAAAATGTCTGGTTTGCTGTACTGTGCACAGTCAAATTCTCTTCAACTTAGTATCTCATGGCTCTGAAAACTTCATATAGCAAATGGAGAAATATAACTAGAAGACCTGAAAATAAATGGATCAGCTGTATCCTCTCATTCCATATCCATCTATAATCAATTTATGTCAAATGAAGCCACTGGTAATTGTAATGACAGTAAGGAAATAAATCCATGTCTTCCCAGGTTGAGTGACTGTCCCACTTCTCTGATTATCCACTGTAAATGCCCTGGAAGTACTGTTAAAGATGTTACAGCCCTAATAACTTTAATATACTTTTCAGTTGAGAAAGTTAATATTCCAACTACTCAGAGCACAGCCCTCCTGTAAATAAAAGCATAAAGAGATTTTCTTTATGTGATCAGATATTTGAGCGCTTCATGCTTACGGGAAAAGCCCATATGCGACAGTTGAAAACATGCTGTGCAAGAGTGAGGCATTATCCTATTTCTATTAATTTCAAAGGGTACCCTGCAAACAACTAAAATTTTTCCCCTTAGAAACATTAAGGGTATAAAGTACCTGAATACCGAATGTGTGTTGTCTTCTTGCAGCATTTATTGCCATTTTATTTGCTACAGAATTAAAGCATATGTATGCTTCTTTCCAAGGATTCCAAGGGCTAAAAATGAAAACAAACCTCCTATAGACCTGCTCTGTTATACATGTGATAAACGTCTCGCATGTAAGACCTAAAGCTGTGGTCATGGCAACACTTCATTTCTGTGTGGAGCTGTGGGCTTCCAGATCTCAAATGTGTTGATATTTGCTTCAAGGATTAAAAAGCAGGCAGGTCTATAAAGTCCCAGACTTCTAAGCAGGAGAAACATCTGGTGGGTGGAACCCCTAAGCAGCTTGCTGACTAAATTCTGCCATTTGGACTTCTTAGCTAATTCCGTTGCCCCAGATCAGGAGATGCCACCACAGCTAACACAGTACATAATGAAAGCACAAACATCTGTGGGAAAATAATTCAAGAGAGCTTATGACACAGTCAAGCAAGATACAAAGCCTAACACTGTCATAAAATCTTGACATCTTCAGAAATGATCTGTAAAAAACCAGAGTGATTTGTAAAGTACATATAACAAAAACTCTGACTCTTAGTCATTTCATACCATAATGGGGAAAAATGTTGAGATTATTAAAGTAGATCCCTTATGAA